GAGGTGGGGACTTGCGCAGTGCAGTTTTGCGACTCAAGAAAACAAAGTAACCTGGAATAGGGGCAATTGGCGACTTTCATGCCCTATGGCCAGTAGCGAATGTGATGTTAGCTCACAGGGTGATTTCCAGAGAACACGGCGCGACAGACAGACTTCAGATTCCGAAGCAGCATGCAAGTGGCGGTCCCATGTCACCGTCCCAGCAGGCTCTGCGCTTGCAGCTCAATGTCATCGTCGCCAATTCAGCACTTGGCGGTTTGGCACGACAAGCACGATGGCAAGAGGCGGTGTTTCAGTTCTCGGCCATAGGAAGGAGGACAGCTTCGAAAAGCAACCCACAAAAGGTAAGGAGGTCGTTCTAGTCGTTCTCTTGCTTGTTCTTTTTGCTGAATTCTCCATGGTGACAGCCACTGCAGTGAATTTGATGGGTAAACCCCTGAAATTTGAAACCCTATTTTCAGGTCCGTTGATTTCAGATCCTGTCTCCAGGAATCTCAAGCCAAACCAGATCACCATCGGCTCTTGCATTTCTGCTTTGGCACAAGCTGAACCTGGCAACTTGCTTGAGCATTTGTGACTCCTCACATCTCGGAAGCATCAACAGAAGCATGTGAGAGAGTGCCCCGCACAAGGGTGACTATGAAATGTCTACACAGTGCACCCAGACATTACAGCACTTGATGGCCCCTGGACACAAATAAAATAACCAGTGCCTGGGTTGAGGGTATCGATGCTCAGGATCAAGGTGGCAAAGTGCCCTGCAATTCTTGGTGGAGAGACAAGAACTTGTTGTCCCAAACATCATATGTTGGACTCTTGATCTGCACTTTGAGCTGCACGCTTCAGAGACAGCTATTTTTGAAAGTGAGAATCAGAAGGCACTCTTTGGAATCTGGCGTAGCTCCGAAGGAACTCATGCATCTCATCTATGCATAGCTGGTTGCTGGCGGATTTGCTACTCCTCAGGACACAGACAGAGCGGAGCTGTGCAAACACTGCAATTCTCCTTTCTTTCTAACGCTTCAATTTGTTTGGACGTATCAGCCTCCTCAGTCTGATTTTAACTTCCGGCTCTTGCTAGCACCGGAATCCAGGATTCAAAGCATGGGCATCATCCTTGACCACATCTCCTACAATGCAGCAGCTGTGCTTCAGCCCTGGTGCCGGGCGCTTCTGGTGCTCCCACGTATGCGCGAGACTCGACGCTGTGGCACAACTTCTGGTTTGGCGAATGGTTCTCCAAGTTGTTCCTTGCATACTTGTACATACAAACTAAGACTTTGATACCTGGGAAGCCAGAGACACTGCCTTGTGAGCTATGACTGCCTGAGCTCTGTGCTATCCGAGGTTTGGGTCCCAATGTGGGGACCTCAAGCGCCATTCAGCATTGTGCATGTAACATCAGCAAATGCATCGCACATGTTGCCATTTGACAATTACTCCGGAGAAACGGAAGCAAAGGCCTACACGCAATGTAGCCAGGTGGTGACCTACAACACAATCCTACATACATGCCAGGCTGTGAACACTTTATTTGAAGACTGTGGTCGTTTTTGCATTAAAACTTGTGTGGCTACTAGAGCTTGCTTGACAGGGACGTCGTGCGCAAGTGACCCGGACGTTGCTGAAGAGTATGTGGCATGACGGATTGCAGCCAGACATCGTCACGATGAATTCTGCGATGAGTGCCTGACAATGAAGTAGAAGATAGGAATGAGTCTACCCTTTAGTCTACAGCTTCAACACGTCTTACTCCCTTCGTCCCAGGTGCCAGTGAGGATGATTGGCCCGCTGTTCTTCAACATCTCAGGAACCTAGATGGAACGGCAGTGACTTCTGGGAGTGCCTTGAAGGTGCTAGTAGGGTTGTGTCGAGTTTGAACCTTTAAAACTTAAACATCACCACATTTCGAACCAGCCTGAAGTATGTATGCAAAATTACTCAGAAGAATGACGACATACAGAAAACAACATTTGTTTGTGGCTGACAATCCCACCACAGAGGGACTTGATTGCTCTCAAGTCCCTAAAAATCTAGAAACCAAATGATTAGGGCGAGCGCTTTCCTTGAAGAAGCGTGAGCTATCCTGCGTCCTACCTAGAAGCTAGCTTAGCCTAGTAGGGAACATTTTCAGTAGGCGCCTATTTACTGAATTAAGTATTGGGAGGACCAACGAGCCCCCAAAATCTAATTGTGCAAATGGTTGTGAAGAGACTTATTTTCAGGAGCTTGGACTCCTTTTTTTTTTCTGTGCAGGTGCTAGCATCTTCTGTGCAGTGGGAGAGAGGCCTGGAGTGTCTGGCACCTCGCACCAATAGCAAGGTGACAAATGCGAGGAAGCCTTTTTGACAGCAGTTCCTCCGTTTAGACCCAGGATTCCGTGCACTTCCAAGTTTCAAGGTGTTTCTGCAGCGCCGTGGAACGCTCAACTCTGTGGCCGTCACAATTGCATGTCAGTTGGCTGGCTTTGCGCCAAAGGCGCGACAGGCTTGTTTGCTTGATCTCTGAGGACCTGCTTGGCAGGTTCATTTCATTGACTTGCTTGGCAGGCATCAGGAGTTGTAGATGAGATGCTGAACAGATTGGAGGCTTCCGATTCAATTTGTGGAAAGTGATAGGACCTGATAGGGTAAAGTTCCAATTTCGCACTTGTTTCTAGTAGCAAACATTGTTACTACTAGTAAGGCCCTTGTTACTAGTAGCGATGCACTTGTTACTAGTAGCGTGGCACTTGTTTCTATTTAGATCTGGGTCCCAGGCAAGAGGTCTTCAAGTCTCAAGACGCTGTGGCAACGCGGCCCTCGCGCAAAGCTCGTGGCCCATTGCAATGCGGCAACTGCAAGGACAGGGTTTGTGTTTCAAGAGTTAGCAAAGAGAGGAGTTTGGTCGTCCATGCAGCAACGTTGCTGGTTGTGTTTGTTGAAACTGTCTTCTTGCGAGGACAGGCAGCCAAGAACTTGCCGCCAAACCAGGTGCCTTTGCCTTTCTTTGTTTGCTGTCAAACTTGGGCCGGAGAAGGGCTTTCTTTGAATAACGCCGCCCATACGATCTTGAAACCACACCACTTTTCTTTTTGGCTACTTAGGCCACTAGGCCTGACCAGAGAACTGCTGAGGTGTCGTACAACACAGTTTCCAGCCACATGGCGGATGCTGGTTGCTGGTTGCAAGTCGTGCATTTACTTGCTCAACGAAGGTGGACTCATGCCTGGGATTGACAGCTTTGGTTTTCTTGCTTCATTTGCTCAATATTGTTTTTCCTTGAAGTATGCAGTCACAATAAGTATTTGTGGGCCAGACTCATCAAGGATTGAAGTCTGACTTTCATTTTTTGACATAGACAGATCTTTAAGGGGCGTTCACCGATGTTGTTCTATATTACTTCCAAGACAAATTGAGCGGCACTTGAAATGGATGGTTTGATTGACACCAGAGCACCCTGAAGATCGCAGCATATCAATTTTGCACTGGCAGAATCCAAGAGAGCTTTTCATTGGAGGCAAGGATTGCGCTTGGACGTCATGGGCTGTGGCAGCGGAATTACTGCATGTGCCACTTGCTTGGCAGCTCGGCCTCAGTGGTAGCCTGTTTTGATTCTAAGTTGCATTCGCACAACACACCTGCACAACTCACTGTACTATGCATATATCTTGCCTTTAAGAAAAGGATGCGCCACATGCCGAAGAGTGCTTTCAGGCGCCATTGTGGCATGTAGCGCTCGCATTGATGAGTTCAATGCAACATAGCCTCATTGGCGCAGAGGTGCAGTTCACGCATTTGATAGTGTCATAGCATGTTTGTGGTGGACTTGTTGGCGTGCCACTGTTGGGTGGCGCAAGTGTGTTGGGACAGCTGACATGATTCTTTTTTGTGGACATGCTTTTTTTGGGGTTTAAACTGCCACACCATAAAGCCTTGTGCATGTTTAGCATGTTCAGCTTGAGAGAGGGAGAGAGGGTTGTCGTGCAGGTGATGAACTACAATGCTCCTGTGGCTTATACAATAGTACTCACTCAGCTATGGTTTAGACCACACTGAAGCCTCTACTTCAGCAGTTCCATCATTGCAATCAGTATTCCGGTCCAATCCTTTTTGCCGCATGGTACCGCCTACACGGGAACAGTATCTTTTGGATTCATGAACTATGGCTGCATGGAAAACATGCAATTGTCAACAAGTTGATGATGGAAATGCAACTGTGGTATGTAAGCATCATGAGCACTATAAGACTGCCGCAAATGTTCTCAGACATTTGAGAGGTGTACATTTTGTGCTCTGACCGACTAACCAGGAATGGTCGCAGATTTGTTCGGTAGAACACCTGTGAGTGATTGCGCATTTGCATACTTTTTGAACACAACTATTTCTCAGTTCAGGTCACTTTGTAAAGAAGTTGTCATGAGAGCACATGTGAATGCCGGGATTGCCACATGCTGGCAATGAATGAATGTCCTATAGACTTATCTCCCTATCTTTTCGTTCGGGTCAGCTTTTGGTATTCAGTGATCTGTCCCTCAATTGCAACGTGCCTGTGGCGCGTGTGGGTTGAACGAGATGCTCAATTGGCTTAGTTGTCCAATGTGGTTTAGCCGTTTAGCAGTGTTCTTCAGTGATCAGGCTTGAAACTAACAGCTTGTTCAATGGAACCCTGCGTCCACATACAAGGTATGCAATAAAAAGATGGACCGAGCTGGAACATCACCCGCTTCCCAACCGTGCATTGAGCAGTTGTGTGAACCTCTATATATTTTAAGTTTTAAATTCAACCTTTGGATTTCTGGCATTTGTCTCCATGGTGGCTCTCATCGCAAATTTGGCAGAAGTGATGTCTTTAAGAGGGTCTGAGATGTGTCCTGATGAATCCTTGAATTCATTGGCCACTGAGTCTTTGCTGTCTGCGCTGCGCCATGGAGGGCTTTGGCGTCGTGCAGTTTTGCCAAAGCCTCCGGACACTGTGACTCTAGGCGTGTGGGTCCATTTTCTTACCGGGGAGACCTCAGCGTGGAACTTCAGAAATTTGGCTTTGCAGCTGTGCACCAAACATTCTTGCAAGACTTTTTCAAAGCAGGCAGGCACAGGGCCCAGAAAAGGCATCCTCATTCTTCTTTTTCCCATGAAAATAAGCCAAGCAATCTTTTTTGCTGCTTGCCCAGGAGGACTACTTGCGGCTCACCTTGACCAGTCTCATTGGTACAGGGCCATTTGGTGTTTGAGCTGGGCAGCCGCACGAAGACTGGAGACCGATGCCCCTGGCATTGAGGTCCTATTACATCAGAAGTTGCACTGCTGGTTTTAGGAGATCAAACATGCTGAAGTCTACAACCTGAAAATCCCTCCAGAAACAGAAAATAGAAAAGAGATGGTTCAATCCTCATGAAGTAATTTAATTACCAAGTTAAATGCCAAGTTTGGAGAGGGAGTTCAAGTTTCTCCAGGCTGTTGCAACGGGGTGCAGCCGGGCCAACCAGTGGCCAAAAGCGCTGGCCTTGGGCGCACCGCAGGGGCGGGGCCAGCCTGTTCTTCTGGAGTTAAAAGAGAGGTTTGGAGCAGTAATCCTTTTTCTTTATTTCTTTCTTTCTTTCTGTTTCTGTTACATACTTTTTCTTGAGCCACCGCCTTGGGAGTGCGCCTAGTTGGACAAAAGCATGCATTATCTACTTGAAATGCAAGGCCTCTTTTTCCGGCTATGAAGATCCTCTGTTGCCCACTTGATACTTTGCCGCACTTGCTTGTGTGCTTGCTTGCTGGCTGGCCTGTGCCTTCCTTTCTTTTTTACTACTCGTGCTTGTTTCTTTGCTTACCCGGAACAGCATTAGAGCCAAAAGTGGAGCCAGCAAACAAATCAGATTCATTGGTTCACAGTTCACAGCAGTTCAGCGTGCATCCAGCTTGCAACTGCTAGAAGCTATGGACCTCCTTCTTTGCCAGGCTTCCCTGGCAAGCTGCTCTTTCGTTGCCCAGACTTGAAGGACTTGATGTTATCATGAATGTTATGCAGGCAGACGTTTTTTCCTTTCATTGTGGGTCTTGTTTACATCCGCGTGCTCGAAGGTAGGAAGGTAGACCCACGCCATAGGATTTACATAGGATTTACCACTTATATAGTCGATCGCTGGTGCATTGCTTTTGACAATTGAGAGTTAATGAACACTCCAAGTGCCAGGCCTGCCTCATGGATGCGGAAGATGCTTCCTGGTCTCGAGCTCTGGCTTTGTGCCCTGCCACGGATGATGCCCCTTTGCTAGCGTTGAAGCTGAATGCCTTCCAGGCGCGAAGCCGACTCTGGAAAGATCTAGGAACCTTTTCGCCGCGCTTCCTTGCATCTAGTGGCTTCCTCTCGCTTACTAAATAGATTTACCTACTGTACCTGCTCACAGCCTACTCCCCTTTCTTTTTAGTGTTCTTGTTAGTGTTCTTGCACGCTGTTGCAGGTTGGGATGCACACTGTTGCTGCATTAGCAACCCTTGTCTTGCTGCAGAAAGCAGGTCTTCGGCATGTCCCTTGGCTGTAGGTGCCATACTGTACCTCGCATTTGCTGCAATTTCTTGGTGCACCTTCAAAAGCTCAGGTGAAGAGTCTTCTCCCAAGAATGCGATGAGAGTCTTCTCCAGGCATTCAGAACCTTAATATATACACAGTTGCGAAATTGTGGACGTAAGCTTTGGGTTGCAAGTTGTATTCCGCCCGCCAGACTGCATTCACGACGTTTTCTGAAGACTTTCACCTGAGAGCAACTCAGAGGGTTTGCTTAGCTAAGAAGCACTTGACAACTTGGCCTTTGCCTACTTCACAAGCAAGCGAAGCATCGGCGGGTTGCTGGTGAAGCAGACGCACTGATTGAACATCGTGACAAGTACCTTTTTACTGGCGTCGGACTCGTATTTTGGGGTGAGTGGGGCAGATGATGCTTGACTGGTTTTGCCTCTGGACAACTGTGATTTTTCAATGTCCAGACCAACTGCAGAGCTGGCTCCGAAGTTTGCTCTTGTGTGTGTGTGTGGCACACAAGACATCACACATTCTGACCATAGCCATCAATCAATCTCTCGGCAAGAAGCACAGGCAGCCAAAGCAAGCACAATCCAGTTTTGCCAAGTTTTCAATCTCTTTCATACCTTCCTGACACTGCGGAAGACAACACCCTTGGCTTCAGCAATGTCAATGACCAAGATGTACTTTCCTTTCTAGTGAAGGCTAGAATAGAAGTGCACCATGTCGAACGGCAAAACGACTGAGGCCAGATCCAGAGGAATCTGAAAACGGCCAGGAGCCAAGCAAACACAAGCTGTGTTCGAACAGGTTAAAGTCAAAGGTATTGCTTCACAATTTGATCGTGGCAGGTGCGAGGAAGGGACATTCCAAGGGTAAGCGAAGGAACTCAGAGATTTCAAATGCTTCGAGTGCTTTCACCGCTCGCCTCGGTTTTTTCTTGCGTCAAAGGAGTGGGCGGGAAGGCCGTGAGAGCCCTAGTGCCGTGGGAAGTCTTCTCGCCAAGCCGTGAGAGCCGAAAGAGCCAAATTAAAAGAGTATATGAATGTTATTATTTGTTGCATTTGTTCCTAGTAGCTTCTTGTTACTACTAGTAAGGCACTTGTTACTAGAAGCGATGCACTTGTTCCTACATGGGAACGCTTTGATTCGGAACGTGCAAGGCAGTGATCCAGACACTTCCACCAATTGGCGAGCAGAGCAAACTTCGGAGGCTGTCTACGCTGGAGTTCAACCACGAAAAACAACGAAGTATTCGTCGGCCAACGGGCATTTTCGACAAACATGCGGGTCAGAGATCACTTTAGAGTTTAGAGTTGAGCTGCTCTTTTGATCAGAAGTGTAATGATTTTCCGCCAATGAAGCGGCTCCTCAGATACTTGCAGTTTAAGAACAATAGCTAGAATTATGTCGGGCACGCCAGCCATAGATACAAGGAGCCAAAATAGTTTTATAAAGCAAAAACAAAGCAAAAAAAAGCAAAAGGCAAAGCACACAAACAAGCAAAAAAATGTAGCTGTGCGTATTTGTCGCTTTTTGTTCACTTTTTTTCGCTTTATGTTCGCATTTTTTTCGCATTTGTTTCGCTTCTTTATTTTTTTTTCGCTTTTTTCCTAGGAGGGTACAGTGTTTTTTTTTTGCTTTTGTTTTTGCTGTACCCTCCTAGGAAAAAAAGCGAAACAAATGCGACATTAAGCGAAAAACTGCGAAAATAAAGCGAAAAGAAGTAAAAAAGAAGCGACAAATACGCACAGCTATATCTTTTTGTTTTTTTGCTTTTTTTTTGCCTATTATTGCGCTTTGTTTTTGCTTTGTTATGTGCTTTTGTTTTGCTTTGTTTTTGCTTTTTGCTTTGTTTTTGCATTTTCATTTGCTTTTATTTCGCTTTTTTTTTTTCCACGGTTTTTTCACAAAAAAAACTATTTGATGGTTGGCCATGTATGGCTGTCATCGCCCAACATAAAGCTAGAACCTTGGAGATGATGCATAACCTCAGAACTTGATAGCTATAGTTCTGAATCGGCGCGCTGAAGTATGCCAGATGGGTTCACCCAAAAGCACACAACGCAGGGGCTATTGGCTGTAAACTACGAAAAATAACATTGTAGCGTGCTCTCTCATTTGTAAACTCGCAAAATGAGGTGGCCCAGAAACTCTTACAAGGTCTCATAGGTGTAGTCGTTGGCTTCACCTTTGTTTTAGTAAGACTGATCTTGCACAAAGATTGTCCAAGATTTATCGTCCTTTGCCATGTTCTTTGTTTGGAAGCCAGAGGCTCCAGCGCCATCTGACGCGCCTCAAAGCAGAGAGGGTAAAGGCAGGGCCAGCAGGGCTAGAGTCATTTTCTCACGTGTGGAGATCAAGTTGTTTAACGTTCAGAAGCCGACTTCATCTGAGATTGGCTGAACCTGCAGGCGAGAGAAGAAGAGCTCAAGGTGGCAAAAGCAGACCTCTTGGGTGCTTTGGTTGCTTTTGAAAAAAAAACATGACACCGGAATCTTCTGTAGGACAATTCGGTTGTGCCTGGGTGGGGTGGAGGCTTGAAGTTGGCCATTTTGGCTCAAGCCTCCACCCCATCCATTGAAAGATGTTTTGGTTGGGGTGGTTGTGCCTCCTCGCGGGCGGCCTGGGCGATGTTCCCGACTCGTGCGGCGGCGCTGGACATGGCGTTGGTGTCGACGGAGCTTTGGCGGGCCTTTGTTCAGGAGGCCGGCAACGGCTGGTTGCAGCCCTTCCGGGCGAGGTGGTGGCTGCTTCACTCCGCCAAGCCCTACTACCCGACGATGTTCCGCTTTCAGCCACAGGCGGCCCAGGTTGGTCTGGAAGCTGGCGAGGAGGGTGATGTTCGTGAAAGGTGGTGGCCAATGGGACGATTGGACAGAGGAGGACCCATGGAGGTCAACGACCACGACTGCCTCGCGAGGCAGGGCAACGGCAAGGGGCAGCATTTCATCCGCTGAGGCTGGGAAGGACACGAAGGAAAGGACTTGCAAGTTCACTCAAATCTTCGACCAAGGAGACGATGGAGAGTTCGAGGTGTTGAACGAAGACGACAAACTCAAAGTGGCCTTGCTGCAGAAGTTCATCGCGACAACGGGGTCGCTACTGGAAGAGGAAGAGAAACCCACGATAGAACAGCTGTTAGCCTTGGAGAAGAAGCTGGGGAAGCCTGGCGAGGGGAAGTGCAGCCTGCTGAATGCTGAAGGAGGATAAGAAGAAGGAACATCAATTGAAACAACAGATGAGGGATGAAGAGCCCAACTGAGGAGAGATTCAGTTTAAAGTACCCCCAAGCAGTGAAGGTGGGAGAAACGTATGGGACAGCTGAATGCACCCATAGATCCACCATGGGTGGATAGATAGAAGGAGGAGTTGAGGAAGTTGAGCCAAGGGGACAGCGAAGGTGAAGCTCACGGAGAAGTCCAGAATGTGAACTTGGCATCGACTGTCCAATCAAGTCTTGCAGCATCTTCCCACCATCGATCAGGGAGGAGGGGCTTCAAGATCAAGGGACATTCAAGCAGCCCAAAGACTTCGAGAGGACAGAAGAGCTGGATCGACTTACGAAACTGGGCTATGTCAAGAAGGAAGAGATGGAGTCAGCCCTGTTCGAGGGGACCACTGACCACGATATCCAAGCTGAGCCTCATCGTGAAGACGAGGGAGGACAGTTCCAAGAAAAGACGGGTGATCATTTAGATCTTCGTCGTTCCGGAGGCAAAGGCAAAGCAGTGTTGCCAGAGAGGCCGGTATTGCTCATGGATGCGATTGCCATGATGAGGAGGATGCACGCCGCCATGCAGCCGAGGGCCAACCTCAGGACAAAGCCATTGGAGTTGGTGACGATCGACAAATCAGATGCCTACATGTACTTGGCCGTCGCAGAGGAGGAGAAAGGGGACACTGCTTAGCGCCGGCCTTGGACTCTGACCATCTGTTGTTCGGATACAAGACGACGCCCCCGACCGGGAGCAGGTGGCAGCCATGGTCCAGGCAGTGGTTTTAGCAAGACATGCGCCAGGTTTAGCTGGAACATTCCTTGTGGATTTTGTGCGGTCGGTTAGAAGCCCGAAACCGGACATTGGCATGCGTTCTGACATCAATGGCCACGCCGGGATTATTAAGCTCTCCTTGACCAAGCGACGAGAGTCACCTGGGTTGGTGTGAAGTTCAAACTGGTTGCGCCGGACTATGACCACCTACTGGTGACCTTGCCCGAACGCTTCATGGCCGAGCTCCAGAATCAACTTGAAGCTGGGGACAAGAAGGGCATGGTGGGGGCGACCGAGTTGAGAAAAGCAGCAGGGAGAGTGGCATGGTTGCGATGTCAACAAAGGAGTGGAGGAAGAGTCGAGGAAGAGAGGAGAGTGCAACGGAAAGACGCCAGGAGGAAGGACCACTTGATACCGGTCAAGCGGATGGAGAATGCAAGACAATGGCTCCTGATCACGAAAGGTAGCCCTTTAGGGGATACCTTGAGTTTGTCTTGCGAAGCAAGTGTTGGGACGTCCGGGTCTAATAACTGATCGCTCAATTCAGACCCCCCCCCCCCCCCCCCCCCCCC